GCCACGGCGGGCGAGGGCGCCGTGGATCCGCTCCGCCGCATCCCGCTGCGGCCCTCGCAGAGCAGCCCCACGGGATGACGCCGCTCCAGGCTCCGGCACCTCCGGGATGTCGGCACCTCCGCGCGGGCTCTGCTGGGCGCCGGGGGCAGCGGGTGCCCCGGGGGGCCCGGCCCCTTCCCGCGATGCCGGCTCCGACGCCATGCGTGTCCGCATCCCTGCGGGCCGCGGCGGGATCAGAGTGCCGGGCTGAAAGCAGGGAGCCGGGATAACAGCGCTTTTTTTAACTGTTCAAATGTCAGCATTACAATACACAGGAAATTGAATTTTGTATTTGATTTCAATTAGCAAAGCATAAATTATATTTAATTTTACACGCAGCCTGGGTGATTCATTGCTCCCGGGAGCCAGTGCGCAGCGGAGCCGGCCGGCACAGCGGGTCCCCGACGGCCCCGGCCGCGCTGCGGGATAACAGCGCTTTTTTTAACTGTTCAAATGTCAGCATTACAATACACAGGAAATTGAATTTTGTATTTGATTTCAATTAGCAAAGCATAAATTATATTTAATTTTACACGCAGCCTGGGTGATTCATTGCTCCCGGGAGCCAGTGCGCAGCGGAGCCGGCCGGCACAGCGGGTCCCCGACGGCCCCGGCCGCGCTGCCCGTCCCGGCTGCTCCCGGCATTCCCGGCCGGAGCAGCGGGAAGGGCCCCTCGGAGCGACGCTCCGGCAGGAACCGGTGACGCTGCGAGTCTGCAGCCTCCGTGTGCAGGAGCGGCTGGGGACAGGGACAGGGATGGGGGTGACAGTGGGAACAGGGAAAGGGAGCGGAGCCGGGATGGGGACAGAGATGAGGATGGGGATGGAAATGGAAATGAGGGCGGGAACAGGGACAGGGCTGGGAATGGGGATAGAGCTGGTGCTGGGGACAAGAATGGGGACGTTCCCCCTCATGGCTCAATCCAGATCCCCAGGGCCGCAGGAAGCAAAGCCCGACCTGGGCCCGGGAAGCGCTGCCGGATCTGACGGACGATGAATCGCTGCGTCGGGGAGGAGAGGGCTGGCTGCCAGGCAGAGAAACGGCAGAAAACGCTTTGATTTTCCCTGCTGTGCACAATACCCTGCCGGTTTGAGAAAGGCTATTCCATAGCTCGGCTTTACTGTGTCATCTGATAAAACCACTGAAAAACTTTTATCAACAAAATTAGGAAGTAGTGAACTATAAAATTGCTAATTATTTTCTAGTAAATTTACTTTTAAATAACTTTAGACACCAATTACAGGCACCATTAAGCACTGTTAACACTGGGTATATTTACCAAACAAGGATGGAATACTCATTACTCAAATCAAGATGGCTGTGGTGTAGATTTTGCTGGTCAGAAAGCAGCCCCCTCTCACCAGGTGTTTAAAATGTAATCAGAAGATCGGTTATGTCTCAGATTCAGTCAGATTTCTAACATTTGAATTGTGCTAGAAGGTGAGCCAGCCTTTGCAACGAATCTCTGCCTGTTTCGGCCCGGAGGAGCCAGCCCCGGGGCTCCCGGCATTCCCGGCCTTGGGGCTCCCGGCATTCCCGGCCCCCGGGCTCCCGGTCTTCCTGCACGGTCCTGGCAGGGGAGACCCAAGCTGGCAGGTTCGGAGCAGCGGGTGCCGGCCGTGGTGCGGGATCAACCCCGTGGCACAGGGGGACCCGGCCTGGAGCAGCCTCAGCCCCAGTGCAGCCCTTGCTCCCGTGCCGCCCGCGCTCCTGTGCATTCTCGGCCCCGGTGCAGCCTCATTCCTGGTGCAGCCCTCGCCCCCATGCAGCCCTCGCTCCCATGCATTCTCGGCCCCAATGCAGCCCTTGCTCCCGTGCCTTC